TCTAAATATGTTCTAAATATAAAATTATCCTTGTAAATAAACAATCTGATAAATAAATGTTTAATATTTGTTTTAAATTCTCAAGAACAAAAATATATTAATTCACTTTCATCATATGTTTAGATTTTATTACAATTTTAATCATCCCTTTTTAAATTTTTAAAGATCAAACTTGACTGGAAATAAAGAAGCCAGCAGAGAGTTCCACAAGTGAAAAATGTGAGAAAAAAAACTGTTACTGTTAAAAGAACTTATGATTATATCTAGCCAACTGTAAAATGATGAGACCTTGCTGTCAATCTAGTGCTATGCTTAAATTCATAAAGTCTAGGTACCATGGAGGAAAATTCATCAGAGTAATTAGCATGAAAATATTTAAAGAAAAGGCTCAGGGAAGTTACATTATGATGGTGGGAAAAGGACTGAAGCTGAGATGTTAGGTCAGGACCAATAACATTGCAGATTATTCTTTGTATTATAGAAAAGGCACAAGGAATGTACAAGAATTCTGAATGATTTAGAATTATAATTTAAAAATGAAAATTAATTTATACATTTTCTTTGTTCTTGAGAATTGAAAATGAAAATAATAAAAACTATTTATTTATTAGATTGGTTATTTACAATTATATAATTTATTGGAATGGTTGGCAAAAAATTGGTTAATTGCCAATTGATGAAAACTTTATAAAATGGTAAATAATAATGTTTTCCTTATAGTTGGTTCACATGTTTTAATAATTTAGTAAATGATAAATGTTGCATTACATTAGTTCTAATAATTGTATTAGTTTTTAGAATGTTCTAAAAATTATTCTTGTAAATAAACAATCTAATAAACAGTGTTTAATATTTTTGTTTTAAATTTTTAAAAATAAAATGTACAAATTCACTTTCATCATTATTTACATTATTTGGACTATTGTCCTCCTCTTTGTTACCATATTTATCACAATGTTTCAGCCGTTGTACACTACGGCCTTCTTCAGGTGGTTGGAATTTCGAACTGTACCCTTTATTTCACTCACTGGGGTAGACTGTCCTAGTTCCATGTTTGATGGATGTCAGTTATCTCCTGCTAATTTCCCTCTAAAAGTTCTCCACTGCCTTAACCGGGTATTGAACTCACACTCTTTGGGTCCTGTCACTGGATCTAACTAATGCCTTTATCCACTGTGCCATGTGTCCTTGAGGACATCTGGGTATGAGTATTATAAACCTAATGTCTTCAGCAACCATTTTTACCAGTGCTCATATTGCAATTTTGCTGTTATCAATACATGTTTTTACCAGAGCTCATATTGCAACCTTGTTGTTATCATTGCTTTTCTCTGGCACTCCTTATTACTGGTTCCCATATTGTATTTATTTCTATGCTTGGTCGGCTCAGGAGATTTTTGTGGCCTAGCATATGTGCTGATTCCTTAAGTTTACCACCTGAAGAAGGCCGGAGCATACAACGGCCGAAACGTGATAAATATGGCAACAAAGATGAGGACAATAGTCCGAATAATGTAAATAATGTACATAATACCTCATCTCAGAAATATATAGACAGTCACTTTCATCATATGTTTAGGTCTTATTACAATTCTAATCATCCTTTTTTAAAAACAAATATTGTCAAGGAGTGAAGGTAGTTAAAATAATAGCAGTGTCAAGGGAATAAACATCTTTTTGACACACCATTTTTTTTGCAGGCACAAAGGTTAAAGATTGCTTAATCTTATTTGCTAACAGAGTTTTGCAGGTAGAAATATTAGTTTTGATTTGAAACCCATGACCAAATTACAGGTAACAAATTTCTCTTTGTATTTACATATGAAGGTGGGTACTGAAAATCTCTTAACCTAATTAAGAAAGGATTAAAGAAGAATTTTGTAAGGGTCATCTGGTCAGATTTTGGGAAGTTGGTCAGACCAAAAACTTTTCAGCACTCCTTATTATACAGACATACAAAACTGAGGAATTTGAAGAAGTACCAATGAGAAAAATGGACTTTCCTTAAATAGGAAATTCGAACCTTGCTTTGTCAGGCTGTTCCTGTGCCTGTTTCTATTAATTTCAATGTTTAAGAAAAAAAAAATAAATCAAGAATAAAAAAACTCAAACACATGTACCCACTAAAAATAACATTTATAGTAATATTATATATATATATATATATATATATATATATATATATATATATTATATATATGAATGAAGTTCCTTCAAACTGTCAGCATGCTGACAAATTCCTTTGAAAAATGTAAAAGAACTATAAAGCTCAGAAATATCCAAAAAAACTGACACCCATTTTGAAAATCATGCAGCGTGAAGCAGGCTGTTAATGAGTAAACAATCAAAGAATGTTATTTTTATACATGTGTGTATTTGAGTAGCAATCACTATCAAATATATGTTTCATTAAAAATGACTGTCAAGGTTACCGTGTCAATCAGTTTTAAGGACCCAGTGGTTAAAAGCATTGGTTAAAGTAATCCTGTGACTTGACCCAAAGAGTTGTGAGTTCAATAACTTGCCACCACACACATATATATATATATATTATATATATATATATATATATATATATATTATTTATATGAATAATCAAAAAAATCTTTTTACCTGATGTGGGGAATAGATTATTTTGGCAGACAATGAAAGTTATTGTCTGTCTTTTCATGTCCCTAGAGCTAGAGGGAGCAGGAAGTAGGAGCTAAGTGATATTAGAAGCTAAAGGGTCAACCAAAAATTACAGAATTCACACTTTTCAATACACAAATATATATATATTTGTGTATTTAAGCAGCAAAGTATTTTCTTTTCTGGACACAGAGTGTGTAGAAACTGTCTAAATGTTCTGTAATTTTGAGCATTTTGGGATATACTTTTAGTCATTATCAAGGATGATTTTACTTTTACGTTTTAACTGGATGTATGGGTTGTGCGTATGTATCTACAGTTATAGGGATGTTTTATTTCCCGAACATAGTCAGTACATTATTTTTTTCATTTCACCCCAAATAAGGCAGTAAAGCTACTAAGACACTGAGACTATGGAGTGTGAAAGTATAAGAAAAAAGAGAAACTTTATTAAGGAGCGAGAACAATAAAAGAAGAGTAATCAAGACGACAAGAGATATCGATTGACATTACATTTTTGAAGATTAAAGTTGTCTGGAAAACATGGAACTGGAAGAGAGTTCCATAAGTGAGAAGTGTGAGAGAAGAAACTGTCAACATAGAACTTACAGTTACATTTAGCCAATTCAACTGTAAATTGATGAGATATTGTTACCAATCCAGTACTGCACTTAAATTCATAAAGTCTAGGTACTATAGTGGAAAGTTTATCAGAATAATTACCATGAAATTATTTATACAAAAGGCACAGGGAAGCTACATTGCAGCAGTGGGAAACTAACTGAAACTGAGATACCAGGTCAGGATCAATAACATTGCAGATTCTTTGGATTTTATCAAGAATCATATCCTACATGCAAGACTTTTCTATAACACCAGATGAGTATCCTATATAGAAATGTGTTAACTGCACAATTATGTATCGGATTCTTCCAATGATATAGTAGAAATAGAATTCTTTATTATTTTAAACTTAGCGACTAAAACCTCATTTATGCTTTAAATTATTTTTTAGCTCAGAGGTAAATGTATAGAAATGTAGTTACATTCTACTTATAAAATATCAAAAACTTAAATATCACCATTTTTTGTGGTTAGGAGGCCATAAAGGTAAAATGTTAACTTGTCTCTACAGTATTTTGCTTTCCACGTTCAGCACTAAATATGTCTATTTTGAGACTTGTAGAATTTATTAAGTAGAAGAACAAGAGATAATGTTAAGATTAGCTGTTTTTTTTCTCTTTCTCTTTTCCCCTCGTTTGTACTGATAAAACATCTCCTGAAGAGAGTTCTAATTTTACCTGTAATAATAACCAAGAAAATATCAAAGTGGAACTGTTGCCCTGATAACCTAAACAATGTTTCAAATTACATTCACAGACAAACCCAAAGACAGGCTGGGATGTTGAAGAAACTAGTTACTCTCCCTTTTCACTAACACCTCCTTCATAAGATAACTGTCTAATTCCCATAAGTCCCTTTTTATTGCCCTCTCCTTCATAAGAAGACTGTCTAATTCCTCCAACTCACATTTCATTACCCACTCCTTCTTAAAGGAGATTGTCTAAGGCCCCAACTATTTTCACTGCTCCCTCATTTATAAGGAAGCCTCTGTCAATTGCTAGAACTCTCTTTTCACTGTCCCTTCCTTTATAAGGAAGCTTCTGTCTACTGCTAGAACTCTCTTTTCACTGTCCCTTCCTTTATAAGGAAGCTTCTGTCTACTGCTAGAATTCCCTTTCACTGTCCCTTCCTTCTACTGCTAGAACATCCTTTTAGCACTATAGTCTATCTCCTCCATCAGAGGGAACTCGCAACTGAGCCAAAGAAAACCCTGTTGAAAAGACTAGTGTCCAACTTGTAAGGTTGTAGTGGGTAACTTGATTATTGGGCAACTTATGTCAGGTAACTTTAAACATATGAACCTCAAATACAAGAACCAAGTTTTATTTTCACTCCTGTACTGCAAATTTAGAAATAGATAGAATAAAATTGAAAAGAAAAGGTAGAATAATGTACTTATTTGAAAAGATAAAAAAAAAATTAAATAAATGGACAGTATACTTACAAGATTGGATCAATAATAGACGATACATAATAATTAGTTGATTTTTTATCTGAAGTGTTCACTGTATAATGTTCAATATATATGATTAATATTTGCCACTGAATTAAGTGCATTGACAAAGAAAATTGATAAAATATCTTATAATTCTGTTTGTTCCCCTATTAGTAAGTTAGCATGTGTGTTATGTTCTGCCATTGTCTCAGATAAATAATGGCCAATTCCGGTTTGATTACAAAGAAGGTAAGTAAGAAAAGACCTATCAGAAACATTGTTTGGTTTTAGGATGGAAAAGTAGATATACATAATAAGAAAGGAAATAGGAAAAGAAAAAAAGGAAAAAAAGAAAAAAAAGGAGGAAAATAAATAAAGGAAGGAAAGAAGAAAAAAGTTTTGTATTTTATAATTCTTATTTTCATTTATCTAATGATGACTCTCCACTTCTCCCTATCCCTTGTGGCTCTCAATAGGTTTCATGCCTCTGCCAACTCCCTCAGCCACGTTCTATCAGCCATTTGCTCAAGACAGCCAGGTATGTCATGCATTGCTTTCCCTTGTCTCTTTTTCCCTCTATTTGACCTGTGAGTATCAGATTCTCCAGGCCCTCCTTTCTCATTACATGTCCCAGAAATTTCATCTGCGTCTTCCTTATGTTAAGTATAAGCTTCCTCCATGTTTGCATCCTCTCCAAGACTTCCTCATTGCTCAAAGGCCCTCTCCATGATATCCTCAACATCCTTCTGTAGAACCACATCTACACTGCCTTGAGTCTCTTCTTCATCTTTGAGGAGACTGTCCAACATTCGCTGCCATATAAGAGGACAGATATCACGTAGCAGCTTAGTACTCTTTTCTTTGTCACCAAAGAAATCCTCCTGTCTTGCAGTACTCTTCTCAGCTTTTGGAATGCATCTTTAGCCATCCCGATCCATCTCTCTAATCTCAGCATTGCACCTACTGTCCTCTGTCAAAACAATTCCAAGATATTTAAACTTCTGCACATGTTTGATTTTAGTGTCCCTGACCTGCAAATCACATTTTGGGCTCATCCTTTTACTGATGACCATACATTCTGTCTTCTTATAGTTTATGGTTAGTCCCTTCTTACTCTCCATTGCTACCTTCTGTAGGGGGGGTTGTAGCTTCTTTTCTGTGACTGCTATCAGTACTACATATCTTATGTTTGGAAGATTGTGGCTGTCATTGATGAATCCCGGTAGGATCTCTAATTCTCTCAAAATTGCCTCACTGTATAAGTTGAATAAGTCTGGTGAGAAGACACATCCTTGCCTTACGCACCTTTCTGTTTTTGTTTCGCTGAACTCATTCTCAATGTACATCCATGCCATTTGCTGCCAGTATAGTTTCTTACAAATAGACAACAATAGGTTATAAAAAAATAAAAAGAAATGTTTTCTCATATTTTGTTAAAGTTGTTAAACACAAATATTTAATGATGCAATAGTGCAATTTCCATGGGTATTTTATAATCATGGACCCCACAAGGAGCTTATTCAATCACTCTTATGAATTATGACTAAATAAAATTCAAATAACAAGACCAAGAAATTCTCATGAGAAGTGATGGATCTACTATGAAACTAATGAAGCCTAATTAAAATTCCCTGTAATTTTAAGTGTTTGTTATTAAAATAAGGCCATTTTAATAATAGAATCATAAGCCAATGGGTTGAAGTAGCCAATGTTGGCCTGAGAATATGCTTTAATACCATTTTATATGGCTTCAAAATTCCTCTGTAATTGGTCAAATTTCAAAATTTTCTTGGGGTCTTCCAGTGCCTGAACCCTCAGCTGTATGAGCTCATTGAGCTTGCTAGAATCTATAGCCTACATTTTGGCCAAGGGATCCTTGAATCTATTGTTGTTGGTTGTAAAGAGGGCCCCAATATCTGTTCAAGCTTCATGACCCCAAAAATGTAGGTCCACTATTGCTCACAATTACTGCTAGTAAATATTTTCTATGTAGAATAATTGTTTTTTCATCATTAGCTTATCAATTTATTAATATATCTACATATGCCTGTGATTAAAACAATGTGTTTTGGAAATATACATACATATAATTCCATCAATAAAAAATATTATTTAGATTGAAGAAATTCTTTCAAAGGATGTAATACATGATATAGAATATTTTTATTATTTTGTTATTCAATTCAGTGCAATCCTGCATTCATGGCTTCAAGTCCCACACTCTCAGAACCATTGAGGAGGTGCACTGGTCTGATCTTGTGTCCAATGAGGAACTCCACCAGATGACCAGCCAGTCGAGTATCCTACACACCATCACTCAGTGTCAGGTTTGCTGGCTCAGTCACATCTGGTAATGATGACCACCCTACCAGTGTCATTTACCAGTTTTACCCGCCACCTGCAAACTGTAGACAACCTCCTGGCACACCACACAGTTGGTGGAAGGACATCATCTGCCAGGGCCTCTAGCAGATTAATCTGGCACTGGGGAATATTCCCATACTCTGCCAACACTGTGAGGGCTGGACAGACAAAATGGATCTTGTTGGCTCAACGCCCTCATGGCATGAGATTTAACAATGGTAGTCCTTCAATTAATAATTTAATAAAAAACTGACTGGATGCATTTGAAAAGATCTATAGAATTTATTAAAAATATTTGAAAAGGTATTTATTTTAGAACAAAGATTCCAATCACAAAATGTTTGGAGTTTAATTGTTTAGACTAGCATTCCCAGCTTTTCTCCTTATAATTGTTACATAAACTGTTGGAAGTGTCTTTTAATGCATGTGTATCTAGAATGTTTTATGATAAGGTGAAAGACTATTTTTGTGGTATGTCACATGCAACATCCCAGCATTTTGAAAATAGATATGAATAAATACTGGCAGAGAACAGATAAAATGGCTATATATGTTTGAGCTGTTGATTACTTATATGCATAGAAAGAAAGAGAAAACATTACGCCTTCTTGGGCTAATGTGTTCTGATATGAAGTGGCAAGATTATATATATATATATATATATATATATATATATATATATATATATATATATATATAAGGTGTGCTATATTTATGGGATAAAGTGCTCAATATCAGATATAGAGCATGTGTAAATATAAAAAGTGAACATTGAAGTCAACACTTAGAGGCATGAAACAGCTTGTCGCCTCTAAGTGTTGACTTCAATGTTCACTTATTTATATATATATATTTATTAGACATTTTTATGTTTAACGTTATTTATAGATACAAGTATTTAAGCAAATGCTCTGTTTATGATAAACAGTATTAAATAACATTTACCGACCTGAATGTCCGAGAAATTTTCATAGAAAATATTAGTTCTTTGACAGGATTCGAACCTGCATCCTATCTCTGGAACCGTCATATCGCTGACGTGCCTTGACGCTCAGCCACAAAAGAACCTTACAAAAGGTCGAATTTACTGTTTATAAGGTTCTTTGTGGCAAGGTCAAGGCATGTCAGCATATATGGCGGTTCTGTTTGCAGGTTCAGTCCTAAAGAACGAATATTTTCTATGAAAATTTCTCGGACATTCAGGCGGTAAATGTTATTTAATACTGTTTATCATAAACAGAGCATTTGCTTAAATACTTGTATCTATAAATAACAACGTTAAACATAAAAATGTCTTTAATAAATAAATTGTCAGACCTTGTCCATTTCTTAACATATATATATATATATATATATATATATATATATATATATGTACATGTATGTATGTCATCAACATACAGAATGTTTTGCTGTATCACAGCTCATCAGTGTAGCTAAACATCCAATTGCTTCAAGTCAAGATTGATATTCACACAGCAGAAAAAGAGAATTTTTAATGCTATATATGACAGTGCAGGCATTAGATCTGAAAAGTATCAAGAACACCACTACCCACTTCTTGTTGAAAGGAACATTGCTACATATGTAAAAGCTAACGTCTCCACCCTGAAATAGAATTACAACAGCATATGTATGTATGCCTGAATGCATGGATATGTATCTGCGCCTAACCTCGAATTGTTTATATGGATGTGTTTGGGTGAACTAAAATGCGTACACCTGTATGTATGTGTCTATTCATGTGAGAGTGTCACCCAAAACAAACACAAAAGTAGATTCTCCCTTCCACCACCAAAAAAAAAAAAACAGTGTCTGATGATTGCAAAAATGTGAAACCCATGGTCACAAACTCATTCCCATACAAATGAATATCTTTTACTCCAACCTGCCTTCTCTATGGATAGCGGCTTGGATTGAGGAATCGGAGAGCCGAGTTCGAATTCCAGTCGAATACATTACATTCATTTACGTGCTAATACCCTTGGGAAAGGTGTGAATCCTCTTCTCCCTCAAGCTATGGGTAAATAGCAGGACAGACTGGGTTCTATAGCCTTGGATGGCAACTGGTCTAGGAGAAGGACAACTCTGAATTCAAAACCTGCAGAGGGTCGTTTGGGGACCTTGTGGCACTTAGTGCACCAGGTCTCTGAATTCGGCCCTTCAAAAAGTGTGGCTGGTCTTGCACAAAACCTTCACCACTATAATCAAATCTCATGTGCTGTTGTCGGGCTGTCGGTTTCCTGGGAACTGATCTGCTTGACCCTCATACGTCGAATTCGACAGGATAGTTGACTATATATATATATATATATATATATATATATATATATATATAAACAAGTGATAGCAATCATCTAAAAGAGGCCTTTTTAATGTAGAAATATTAAAAAGTCAGATCCAAGAAGAGAGCTCAATGTATAAAGTATACAAAGGAATATAATTCATAGTAAAAAACACTTAAAATCACATAATTTTAAGTGTTTTATTACTATGATTGATATCTCTCTCTCTCTCTCTATATATATATATATATGATAGATTCTCCTGTCGGGTTCGATATATGATGTTCTGACGACCACAAACTAATTATCTGCATGCCTATGACGGGCATGACTTTTGAGACTGGCTTGAGAATTGTACAAAAGACCACAAACAGTACAGGAGAATGTATTGTATCCAAGTGCTGCAGGAACACTGTTAGATGTCTTATTTTTCTTTCTCGTTTCATGTTGTCGACTGACAGTTACTTCAGTGCAGCTATATCAATGTTGTACTTCTTTAGCTCCAATGCGACCAGAGCTGTTTTTCTTTCTGGTGCTGAGTTGATGTCCTGGAGAGTTCATACATTCCAAGTGTCAAGATGATGTTGATGTTGTTTCATAGAGTTTTTCCCAGTAGCCGGATATGTGTGTAACTAATTCGATGTAGTTGTCAGAAAACCAACACAATGATTTGTTTCAAGTGGTGAAGGCTTGTGTTAGACCATCCACACTTTTTGGATCTGTTGATAAAGTAACGATGTAAAAGACTTACCGTGGAAACTCCGAACGTCAGTCTT